ACTCGCAAGGCTAAAGGTTGCTGATGGTTGAATGATGCTTCGACAGTGGCCCCTGACAGGTCAGAGCCTTGACCGTTCAATAGACGGGAGTTACACAGCGAGCAGCAGTGCCACCAGGGCGGCCAGAGCCGGGACCTTCCCCGCCCCGCCCCCGGCGCCGCCAGACGAGAACGGGTAGAAGAAGTCGGCCGGTAGGCTGAGATCGACGCGCGGCGGCCGCGCAAAGTGCGGCTCCGGCCCGCCGGCGGTCACATCCTGGAACGCGACGCTGGTGTGCAGGGTGACTGAGAGCCTGCCGCCGCTCTCCGGAGCCGTCCACACGGGTCGCGGCCGGCCGAACTGCAGTCGTACCCCGACCACCCGAGTCTGCGGCAGCTGGGCGGCGCCGGTCCGCGCCACCAGTACCCGCCAGTGCAGGCTGGTGACCAGGCCGCGGCAGCCGGACCGAGTGGTCTCCGGGGAGAGCTGCGGCCGGCCGCCCACCACCGGCACCCACTCCCCGTCCCGCTCTCCGCTGCCGAACGCGAACACGGCAGTCTCAGCGGCGGCAGCCGGCAGGCCCGACAGCAGCGTGTCCAGGAGACGGCGCTGCAGCGCGGCACAGTCACCCGCCGCCGCCTCCAACCGACAGCCCACGGAGGCGTCCACACCGAACGCCAGCGGCCTCCAGCGGCGCCGGTCGGTACTGCAGCCGCCGCCGCGGCCCGGCGAGGGCAGCAGCAGCGGCCGGCCGGGCGCCGCCGGCTCGCGCCGCGTCTCGCCGTCGTCGGTGACGTTGACGGCCAGCGGGGCGGCCAGCAGCGGCCGGCGCCGCTGGTAGCCGGGGTTGCCGCTGCGGAGACGCGGCGCCTCGGCCGCCGGCCGTCGGAACTCCACCCGGCGCCTCTGGCGGACCGCAGAGCCGAGCGGTACGTCCGCCAGCACCAGGAGGGCGCGGACGGCCGCCACCCGGCCGGAGCGCTGCTCCACCACCAGCAGAGCCGAGACGAGTGCGTCCCGCAGCCGGTCACCGGAGACACGCGGCCGGCGGACCTCAGACACCTGCACAGAGCGAACACAAACATACACTGGACATCAGACACCCACATTGCACGTTCATTCCTAAATAATTCTCGCCGACCGAGATCCCTGCCTGAACAGCGGACGTATCTGAAGTGGTGAACTTACCTGCGTACAGTTGAGGTGGTCAATGTCGCACAGATACGGTACAGCAGCCACGGCGGTGTCCTGGTCCGTGTCGGTCGACTCGTCTCCAGGCTGGACGCAGCGGACTGGCTTCGGATCCTGGCCAAACGAGCATAAAGGGGTCAGAGGGGCGTGGGTGATGAAAGCAAAAGCTTTTCTTGTTGAGCCTACTGTTGTGTATTAGGATGATGTCTCTTGTGACGTCATTTACTCTGCCTGGATTTAGAAAGTGTGCCTCATATCGAGAACCTTGGAAGTTGTCGTTCTTGGCCTTGTGTAGTATGGAAGAAACGTTCTGAGTAAAAAGGAGTCTTTGGAGTCAGCCAAAGGCATGCAGTACAATCGGAAGTAGCAGAATAAGGAAAGTACAGACCACTCGATACACAACAAAATGGCGACGAAGGTAAAATACGCGATTTAAAGTCACGAAGACGCATCTGTAAGGCGCAGCACGTGTCGCGCCAAAGTTTGTCGCATTTCAAGGTTAAGGGCATATCTCGAGTTGGAAGTGCGCCAGTCTTTGTCAATTTGGATATTTTCTGAATTATGGCTGTTAGTCTGCCGCCCCCACAGAGTATCAAGGAAGGTGAAAACTTCATGACATGGATCAAATCAGTGGAAATTTACATGGGTGCAATTGATGTGAAAACTGCTTCTCAGAAAGTCAATATTGTTCTGCACCTTCTCGGACCTGATGTTCAAGGTATTATCGATACTTTGCCAGAGGGGGAAGGGACAAATGCATATGAAAAGTTGAAAGATCAGCTGGAGAAGCACTTCAAGCCAAAAGTTAATACAGTAGTTGAGCGACATCACTTCAACACAATGGTGTACGAAGGCGGAAGAGTGGAAGGATACGTAGCAAAGCTGAAAACTCAAGCTCGGAAGTGTGACTTTGATGTCAATGAAGTGGATAACCTGGTGAGAGATAAGCTGGTGGCAACATGTCCCTCATCCAGAGTAAAGGAGAGCATGCTCAAGGAAGAAAAGCTGACTCTAACCAAAGCCATCTCTATATGGTCGACAGATGCCACTGTTCGAGAGCAAGCTCGGAAGATGGAAGTGTCAGAGGAAGGAGCATCAAGGAAAGATGAAAAGGTGAACAAGGTCAACTGGAAGCAGGCAGAAAGAAAGCCAAAGAAGGATGAAGCTGTGAGAGGGCAGCAAAACCAGATGAAAAATGCAAGAGGTAAGATGATGCAAAGCAGTCAAAGGGAAGATGAAAGGAAATGCTTCAGATGTGGCAAAGGTAACCATCTGATAAAAGACTGCAGAGTGCCGAAACATGTCAGATGTAACAACTGTTCAAAGCCGGGTCATCTCCAAGCTGCGTGCAGGAACCCGAGTGCTGAAGAGAGAGTGAGGGTGAACTGTAATGAAGGTGACAAAGTAGAAGATGATGAGGAAGACAACTATTGTGTGTATCAAGCAAGCAGGGAGAAGTCAAAGGCGATCAAGGTGAGCATGTCCGTAAATGGCAAGGATGTGGAATTCCTGGTTGACACAGGATGCCCAGTGACGTTGATGCCAGACAGTGTGCTTCCTGGACTGAGTCTGCGGAAAGCTGGATGTCGTCTGACCTCATATACAGGGCACAAGATCCCTGTGCTGGGTGTCACAGATGCAGAAGTAGTGTACCAAGGAAACAAGAAGGAACTGGAAGTGCATGTGGTGGAAGGAGATGGACCTCCACTACTGGGACGTAACTGGCTGAAAGAAATCAGACTGGACTGGGAACAGCTGGTGGGAAGTGTGCAATCTCAGAAGACAATGCGTTGGAAGCTGGAAGATGTTCTGCAGAGGAATGAAGAGCTGTTTGATGGTACGCTGGGTCAGATGAAGAACACCGAAGCTCATCTAGAGCTGAAAGAAGATGCCAAACCAGTGTTCCAGCCACCACGACCTGTGCCATATGGTCTCGCGGACAAAGTGAAGCAAGAGTTGTCAAGATGGGTGGAACTTGGAGTGACAAAAGAACTGACGTCAGAGGATGCAACGCCGAAGTGGGCCACGCCTCTCGTAGTCGTGCCAAAGCCGGACGGATCAGTAAGGCTCTGTGGAGATTTCAAGGTAACGCTGAACCCAAACCTGGAAGTGCCGAAGCACCCGCTGCCGAAGATGGAGGACATTTTTGCAACAGTGGGACAGGTTCGATACATCTCCGTGATTGACCTCTCCCAAGCGTATCTGCAGATGCCCCTCAGCACAGAAAGCCAGGAGTACTGTGTTCTCAACACACCATGGGGGATGCACCGTATGCTGCGACTACCATACGGGGTGAAGTCAAGTCCAATGCTCTTCCAGAGGGAAATGGACAGAATCCTCAAGAATGTGCCTGGAGTGAAGTGTCTGTTGGATGATATGCTCATCACAGGAAGAACTGAAGAGGAAGCACTGAAGCGACTGGACGAAGTGATGCAGATCATGAAGTCACACGGTCTGCGTCTGAAAAAGGAGAAATGTCAGTTTCTGACAAAGGAAGTCCGGTACCTAGGGCTCAGGCTAGGAGCCGAGGGCATCAGAACAGATCCAGAACGTGTGAAAGCCGTGCTGAACGCAAGAGCACCCACCAACCAGAAAGAAGTTCGCGAGTTTCTCGGTGCTGTCACGTTCTACAACCGCTTCCTGAAGAACCTCTCGAAGACAGCAAGGCCGTTGAATGAACTCCTGAAGAAAGACAGCGAATGGAAGTGGACTGCAGAGTGTGAAGCCAGCTTCAACAGCATCAAGAGACAGCTGTCGTCAACGGAAGTGCTGCGTCATTTCGACGTGACGGAGCAGGTGACGGTGATCACGGACGCTAGTCCAGAAGGACTAGGCGCCGTACTCGTTCAAGGGAAGGATGAGCGGCCGATCATGTACGTGTCAAGATCGCTGAGTGAACACGAGCGGAAATACTCTCAGATAGAAAGGGAAGGACTCTGTGTAGTCTGGACATTTCAGCGACTGAAGCAGTTCCTGTACGGGCGCCATTTCAAGCTCGTAACGGACAACAAGCCGCTAGCTCACGTCTTTGGACCTAAGGCGCCGCTGCCGACGTTGGCTGCCTCACGGATCCAGAGATGGGCGATGAAGTTGGCGGAGTACGATTTCTCTGTGGAAGTCAGGAAGTCGGAACAGATTCCAGTAGCTGATTGGCTCTCACGTCTACCGAGAGAAGGCTCAGTGCTGAAGTCAGAAGCACCAGAAGACGAGTGCACTGTCTGTCTGATCGGACAACTGGAGTCGCTAAGTCCGGTGACGGCCGCAGCGATTCAACGAGAGACGGCCAGAAGCCCAATCCTGGCGAAGGTGATGCACTTCGTGCACAACGGCTGGTCAGAAGCCGTAAATGAAGAGCTACAACCATTCAAGATGAGGCAAACCGAACTGACCGTGGAGCGCGGATGTCTGATGTGGGGATGTCGCGTCGTAGTTCCGCCGAACCTGAGATCCAGAGTGCTGAGCGAGCTGCATGCCGGACATCAAGGAATGGTGAAGATGAAGCAGCTCGGAAGGATGCACGTCTGGTGGCCGAACATGGACAAGCAGATCGAGGCGGAAGTCCGGAACTGCGAAGGCTGCTGGCAAAAGCGAGCAGAGCCACCAAGCGGAGATCTCCACCCATGGGAGTATGCCAAGGGACCCTGGCAACGGATACATCTAGATTTCGCTGGTCCTGTGGAAGGTCAATTCTACGTGGTTGTCATCGACAGCTACTCGAAGTGGATGGAAATCGCTCCAATGAAGACCATCACAACAGAGAAGACGATTGAATACCTGCTGAACCTGTTCGCTAGGTGGGGACTGCCTCACCAACTGGTCACGGATAATGGTCCACAACTCGTCAGCAAGGACTTCGAAGGGTTCTTGGAGAGGAACGGAATCAAGCACAGTGTCACAGCGCCGTACAAGCCGTCCACTAACGGAGCTGCGGAAAGAGCAGTGGGTTGTCTGAAGAACCTGCTGAAGGCCTCAAAAGGCAAGAAGGTCAACATCCCGAACTTCCTGATGGCGTACCGCAGCACGCCCCAAGCGTCAACAGGACGTACACCGGCGGAGTTGATGCTGGGCAGGCCGCTACGAAACCGCCTGGACCTCCTGAAGCCCAACCTCGCAAGTGAAGTTCGAGAGAAGCAACAGGAACAAGTAGAAAGATCACAGAAGGGAAACGACAGAACGCTCGAAGTCGGCGAATCAGTCCTGGTCCGCGACTACCGAGGTGCACAGAAATGGAGAGAGGGAGACGTCATCGAACGACAAGGCAGTAAACACTACCTAGTCCAAGTGCAAGACGAAGTGTGGCGTCGACACATCGATCAGATTGTCTGTCTGCAAGGTGTCCGACCTCCAGTGACTAATCTGCGGAAGGAGATCAATCCGTCTGAGCACTGCAATCTCCCAGCGCAAGACGCACCAGCGGTGCAGCGGGAACATGGACCGCCACTGCATAGCGCTGTGGAACAGTCGGTAACTTCAACCGGTAACCGCGGGCTCGTGCTGGAGGAAGATGGGATTGCTGCAACACAGTCACCAGAAGCAGCGTCAGCAGCGAAGGCGAACACTGAACAAGAGACTGTAGGTCCTAGGGCACGTCCAGCGGACGTCATCCGGAAGACCCCAGAACTGCGCACTCATCCCCAGCGTGAGCGTAAACCTGTGGTGCGCATGAACCTGTGAAGTGTTGTTTAGTGGGGAGGAGTGTTGTGTATTAGGATGATGTCTCTTGTGACGTCATTTACTCTGCCTGGATTTAGAAAGTGTGCCTCATATCGAGAACCTTGGAAGTTGTCGTTCTTGGCCTTGTGTAGTATGGAAGAAACGTTCTGAGTAAAAAGGAGTCTTTGGAGTCAGCCAAAGGCATGCAGTACAATCGGAAGTAGCAGAATAAGGAAAGTACAGACCACTCGATACACAACACCTACCTTATAGAAAACACACAGTGTAGTATACCGATCACTGAGCGGCATTACAGGGTGAGCCATTAAGATTTACCCATCGAAAATTTCACTTTGTTTCAAGGCGCGCTGACATAGCCATGTCATCTTTTACATTCATATAACAACTTCATCTCCTAACTAATAAGATGTAGTCTGTTTTCTGTATGCTCGCATTCTTCTTATGTTACGCGCCCGAGACGCGAGAGCCAGTGTTTCATTTTTCAGCCTTTTTGTTGGCAAATCACACCTAATGGGGAAAATATTTTCATCCCTAAAATATGAATGACCAACTTTACTTCATCTCTGAAAAGAGTTTCATGTATTCCCAATAGCCAGTTCACTTGTCACTTGATAGTTGATGCACCCACATCCTTTTGTTCCACACCCTGTCAAGATCCTGACATGAAATCCTGGTTTATCAGTTAGCATAAAAATTGGCATTACACCATTTTGCAAAAATACTGCAGTTATTTACTTTCTTTTTTTCCATCCTAGGATTTTTTTCTTCATCGGCACACCCAACCAATATCCAATTTTAGAACACTGCGCGAGAGCACTATGGCACGCGGCCGCCGCACCGTCGTTTCCATTATTTTCCTCGATCATCCACGCTGTAGCAATGCTGTGCCGTATGTCATTTGCGGTGTTTCAGGGACTAGATAGATGTATTAGAATCCTACCTGCTCTGTACCGTAAACCTACCTGTTCAGTCTCCCCGGGAGGCGTCCTCAGCAGACACAGGTCCCGGTACAGTGTACACTGTACAGTGAATGTACACCTACCTCTCCAGTCTCGCCGGGAGGCGTCCTCAGCAGACACAGATCGCGGTACACCTACCCGCTGTCTCACCGGGAGGTACTCTCAGCAGACACAGGTCCCGGTAAACCTACCTCTCCAGTCTCCCCGGGAGATACTCTCAGCAGACACAGGTCCCGGTACACCTACCTCTCCAGTTTCCCCAGGAGGCGCCCTCAGCAGACACAGGTCGCGATACATGTTCCGGCCGTCCAGCGGAGTCAGCCGTCCGGCGTCGGCCGTCAGCCAGCAGTCAGTGTGGGCCGAGCGGAGGAACCGCACCGGGCGGAGGGCGTCACACACGCCGGACGACACCGGGCCGCGCCACTGCAACTCTGGAGCAGAGCACAGAGTGCGGTTAGCAGCAGTCAGCAGTATGCTCGAACGTACCGCAGTGGCGTAACGTTGCAGCCCTGTCGTACTGCACTCTGCATGCAGGCAAAAGCTTTGGAACTGATGTGATACTCTACATATCATGTAGAGTATGTAGATGTTCACACTACAATGCACATTTGCATCTAAAGGGGTTAAGACATTGGAAGTAAAGTAAAAACTAGTTTGGCTGTTGGCATCAAGGAACGCACAGCTGTCACTGAGTTACTCAGCTGTATTGGCACTGTGCAGGCGCTGTCGGACCCCACCCACTCACCCCAGCGTCGCGGCGGGCCCTTGCCGACGGCCCAAAGCAGGTCCCCGCTCCGGTACCGGTCCGAGGAGGCCGCCGGTACCGCAGTGACGGGCGGCGGCGCCGGCGGGCTCCAGCCGCCATACCGGTGGGAGGAGGCCGCCCGAGACACCAGGCGGTCAAACTCCACAGAACTCGCCGCCGGCTGCCAGTAAAAGGTGAAACGTTAATTCATTGTAGGCATGAGTTTATGCTAACAGCAGCATTCGATATGATACCTCCAAAGCAAGCAGGGACATGGCTAACTTATACATGCTTGAAAGGTCGCTGACAAAGCAAGATCAAACCCTAGTCACATCAAAGAGAAAATAAAATAATATAAAGCCGGACTCTCAAACGATTACCTTGACGCGCGGGAGCCGGAAGCTGCCGACCAGATTGTCTCGGACGACACACAGCAGACCGCCCTCGGCTGGGGTCAGCTGGTGATCGTTACTCCGATAGATGTGGTCCGACTGCACGCAGTAGCGAGTATCTGCCGAAACGCACACACATAATGACACAAAGGCCGCACATCAGCTTAGACTATCGTGCAACTCAGTGAGTCAGTGACTAAAGATTCAAAACTCAAAGCGACTTTTTACAGGACCAAACGACTTTGGGACAAGTTTCTGGATAATCAGATTGTCAGGCGTCGAGTAACTTACCCGGTGTGACGGAGGGTCTCTTCTGACAGGCCGAGAAGGCCCGGCGGTCCTCCGGGCTACAGTCCGGGTCACAGCAGCAGTCCGCGTCACACTCCGATACCTGCAAATGAAAGGCGCAAACTTTTACAGCAGCAATCTACGTCACATGACTTCGATACCTGCCACTGAAAGGGACACGACGTCAAAGAAGTTCTCATTAAACATCGCTTGAGCTATGCGGCCCAAGACCAGCATGAGTGGTCTCTCCGTACGAAAGACACAAATTCCTATGAAATCAAATTCATTTCCTGCACCAGCAATTCCAATATTTTTAAGCTCGGACAATCTCTAGCTTTCACATTTCCGTTCCTTTCTATCACCGGACTTAGATTACTCACCAGAAGGTCGCACGTGCAGTGGGCGGTACTCCAGTCTTCCACGTCCGTTTCCGCTGGGTCAGCAGGGGTCACGTCCTTTTCTGCCGGTTCGGCAGGGGCTTCGTCTGTCCCTGTTGCCTCAGCAGAGGTTTTCCCTGCCCCTGCCTCAGCGGGGGTACCGCCGGTCCCTGCCGGACTGACGGTACTCTCTGTAGAGTTGGTAGCGACTTTATCCGTCTCCTCTGAGTCTGCAGGGGCCGTGTCTGTCCCTGCTGGTTCAGCAGTGACTCCTTCCGTCCCTGCTGCGTCAGTAGAAGCTCGTTCTGTTTCTGTCGGTTCAGTAGGGGCTCCTGCCGTTTCTCCTTGCTCAGTTCCATCAAGAGTAAGCTCCTCGGGTCCTAACATGAATTCGTCGGCGGTGGCAGACAGCAACTCGACACCCTCACCGCTACCTTCGCCCTCCGTCGGTCCTGTCTCTCCCGGGAGCTGCTCAGGGTCGCCGGGGCCGTTCTCGGCGGAGCGTTTCAGCGCCATCACACTGGCACCATCCCTATGCCGGCCTCCCACGCCGTAGGCGGGCGGTGGGGCGGCGCCCCCAGCCGACTGCAGCGGCAGACAGTCGCCGAGCACACAGCGGTCAAACTCGCTGACCGTGTCGGCCGCGGCAGCCGCCAGCAGCGCGAGCAGCAGCGCCACCTGCCGCCGTCCCCAGCGGCGGCACATCGCCGCGAACGCTCAGTACTCGATACCGTAACGGGCAAAGTTACGCAGGATCACGCTTATCTGGACGTGCACCTGAAAAACGACGTAACCACAACTACGGTCAGCAGTAACTCTCTGATCGGTGAAAAAACCCGTCACCTGGTAACTTACGAAGAATAAAATAATTGACCTTAAAACAACTGCAATGCTATGTAAACAACGAGGCTAATAATGCCCATTGCGTCGCGATCTGCCGGTGTATCCACTGACCGTGCCCATGGCGGTGGTCTGGATCCGGTACCGGTCCAGGGACGTGTAGACCAGCTGCGGGTCCCTGAGCTGCGGGCCGCCGCCCACAAACTGCTGGCGAAACTCGTCCCTCAGACTGCCTGTCGGACAAATAGGGCATGGATCAGCCAACCGTCGTATAGGTAGCTACAACACGTGCCTGCGACATACATCAACCAACGGCCTGACATTTTATCGGTCGGAGACACCATATACACATCAGACAACGGGTGTGTATTGCTATAACTGTATCAGATATGTCTATGATGCGACGTGAAACGGACAACGGTCTGACATCCAGCAGCAGGACAGATCGAGTCACAGCAATTGTAAAAAAATATTTCCTCATCTCGTCTAGGAAGTTACGGCGCACACATGCATACCCTATCACAAACAGTACAAACTACACATATCTGACGAACTCGGCGTAATTCTCTCACCAGTCGGCCTCCAGATGACGCAGTCGATGCTGTGCGCTCCCGGACTGCTAGGCAAGTTGCAGAAGCCGTAGCCACAGATGTCGAACCGTCCAAAGCCGTCCAGACTGTACACCTGCACAACCAGCTTCGGCCAACCTACCGGCGGCGGGCGAACGGTGAACATTGTTTGCAATGCTGATATTATTCCTCACTGCAGTATCGTATGTTATCAGCAAGTGCTCTGCGTACATGGCTAGGATCATTCTAGAGTTAGCCCTGAAAGATCGGTAATAATCCAATGCATGTACGATCGGGGTATAACGTTACCTATAGTAAGCCGTAATTACAGGGTATAGCTACGTCCGCTGAGCTGGCCGAGAGCCACTGACCTGTGATGCCTTTGATGGTGTAGTGCACATCCACTGGGTGACACCAGATCGCCGCCTGACCGAGCTGGGGACAGTCGGCGTGCGTCTGACCCTCCTTCAGACCCTCCACATGGTGCCAGGCACCGCCTGCGGACCACAAAACAGAGCATGTACGATGGAATCAACGGCATCAACACATCGAGGGGAAGCCTTCCTGAGATCTATGAAAAAAAATTGTTGGGCATTGGCCCACTTAGCCGTGTCGTGAAAACAAAGCGGCTACAACTTCAAGCACAAGGTGGACCACGACAGTGAGGGTGAAAGTCAATGCCAACCCGTCCACTGGCTTGTGCCAGTGCGGGGAGAGGCTGAGCCGCACCACTGAAACCAGACTCTGGGAGACTAACAGGAAAACCCTGTCTCACTGTGACATCTGGAGATCATCTTCAGGTTATTATCCCTTATCTGTTTATTACTACGTGAATGGTATTTGAAACTGTAATGCAGTGATGAGGCAACTTTACTGACCTGTTTGTATACTCCACCTGCAGAACAGCTGTGAGTCTGAGAACCCTGACCCACTCACAATCTGACCGATAAAGTGCACCTCTGCCGAGCTGGAATCTTTTCCTCGCACCTGTAACACACAAACACATCAAATTTGAGATTAAATCATCACTGATCATCAGAGCGAGAAATAGTAATCTTAGCAAACTACAAACAACTACGCAAGCCCAAAACACTCCTAAGATCTTATCTCACCTTATCTTACCTCACTGTCGTCGGGATTCGGTAAGGCCACTGGCTAATGGCCGGAAGGCCCCGCTCTCATTGAGCTCCGTGGTTTTGTGGGATCATCTCATGCATGCATTTTCGGCGTCTTTCGTTGGGTCAACAGTTGTATCGTACAGCAAATCTGATCGGCAAGTAATTCACAGCGAATTTGACCACCAAGCCGCGACAAAGTGGTGGTCCTCAAGGCCTGACAGTGCCATCAGCCATGTGCATTTCGCCCTACCACCGAGGGACAACGCCAAACTCTCACATGAGCCGAGCGCATCTCGTTTAAGAATGCTGCGGAATGCAACAACCTCAGATTATTTTAATGCAGGGGTCGGCAAATGGTGGGGCATGCCCCCTTTGGGGGTAATGGAGCCCTTTCGGTGGGGGTAATGAGGGATTCTGAGAAAGCCTATCTTTTTAGAGTTTGTAGCTCCAGTGATGGAGCCATCGTGACTGTTGCATCCCAGGGTTCAAAGATTAGCCCAGGCCAAAGGCACAGCACACATTGATTAGATACCAATTTTCACGTACCTGCTCGCCTCACCATCTCACCCCTCCGTACAGTCGTTCAAAAGCAGCTGCAACTTTTAACCGTCGCCCGTCTGTTGGCGTTTCAACAGCCGCTAACGTAAGGGGGAGGAGTCGATCGGACCCCCGCGGCCTCTCGGACTCTGATATGGAGCTGTGCATAAAAAAGACGAGCGTGCTACCCGTGACCATAGGAAGCCGCTGCTGCCCATTTTTAAGGTCCTTGGTCATTCCGTCTCATTCAAGAGGGCAATGATAAGTGTCGAGAAAATCGGGACCCGCTATAACTTCTTGAAGTGAGATTTTATGGCTCAAGATGATCTCCAGAAAAAGCTCATAAGCCAACGGTCATTATGGGTCCAGAGGCCAGTTTTACCAACAGAAAAATAGCCGCCTGCCGGAATTTTTGCCTAAAGATCGTTTCACATATGGAGCGTAAACGGTAAAGCCCTATCCGCTTACGAGCCCATCGCGTTTACGCTCCGTATGTGAAGCGGTCTTGAGGCAAAAATCCCGGCAGGCGGTTATTTTTCTGTTGGTAAAACTGGTCTCAGGTCATGATATTTTCCGGGCTGGTGAAAAAAAAGGATGGGCTCGATGGTACAATTTGGTCGTGATCCAATGCCTTTTACGTGAGCTTTTAACGAAAAACCACCCGCCGCCCCTATATCGTACAAGGGTTAAATGGGATATAGCATAGGCGGCGGAACGGGGAGGGCACCGTGGCACCGTGCACCCTTTGATTTTTGTATTTTAACATTAGCCCTATGGGCGTTGCATGGAAAGAATGGGACCAAAAGTCGGCAGTGCTCCCCCTCCCCCTTAATTGAAGGTGTTCCGCCGCTACTGGGATATAGGCATTAAATGTTTTGTGGAGGAAGTGTCATGTTTTAAATTTGATGCATTGGAAATGCACAAATACCCAAAGAGTTCCAGGACGGTATGGAATTTCAGTAAACTTGGTTGTGTCAGCAATGGGGTCTGGTAGGTGGGGGTAATGGCCCTGCCTGGCGCCCAAAAAGGGGGCACGACCCCGAATAACCTGCCGACCACTGTTTTAATGCAACTTATTAGCTGCGTCGAACATACCCGATAATCGTTCGCAAAGACCCGTTGAAGCAGTGGAGCGGTCATGTAGCCCTGCCATCGGCCGTGCACATCTCGAGTCCCTCCCATCTGCACCAAGCTCATCTCTCTCACTCTACCGCCGACGCCTCACAGAGTCGAGCGGTGCGTTTCGTGTTGTAACAGTGTGAAGAGTGCGAACTTGCGGGCGACCCACGTGCTTGATGGGACTACCAGCGCAGGCACAGTCCGTTCTGACCACAGCATCCTCAATTAGACCCGAGAGCACAATGAGTTACACGTCAAAGCTCTAACAATGTCTTTTCTGCAATTTTCCTAATCTATCTCATCTGGTCTGTCATGTCGTCACTAACCCAATTCCGCACCGCAATACACTAAATCCGCACCACACCAAGCCAAAATCCGCAACGCATCGCACCAAATCCGCACCAGCCGAACAAGCCCGCACCGACAAAATCTCATAAAATTGCCATAGTTTGCAGGCTGGACTAAAAGTAGGCAAGTATAAGCAGTAGGTAAGTGAGCAATAATCGACACACACTTTGTGGATCGCTCTTAAATGTAAATACAAATATAAGCAAGTATAAGTATGAGATCATAAAAAATTGGTAGTCTGAGTCATAAAGCAAGCATCACATCACACTTGTTTTTTTTTTTTGCAACCAGCAAGTTTCAAATTAAACTCACCATGGGCTTGCTGTTGCAGAGGAAGGCAAACAGAAGTTTGAATTGAAACGAATCCAAGTTTCAATATTCTCCTCTTCCTCTCCTTCGGCACTCTACTAAGCTAAATCCAAAAGAAAACAGCACTTAGAAACATTCAAAATATGCTCAAAGTAACCAAAGTACAAGCATAATTCCATGAAGCTAATATATTCTATCACCGTGCATGAAGCTCATTATCATTATTACTCCTCACTCTTCTTATGCACTCTTCAGCAAATTGAAAAGTGTGGAATGCGTGGAATGCGAAGTGATTGGAAATGTAAATAAACAAATGTCAAAATATATAAAATGTCAATACTTTCTTTAAAAAGTTTTCCAACGAGAATTTTTTACATAATTTGGAAATGTTTAATATATTTGTCGGTATTTATTTTTTTCTTGACAACGAATTGACGAGTTTTAAAATAAGATTTATTTTAAAAGTTACTGTATGTTATTTTTCGTCGCGAAATATTTCTTTTGGCGATCTCTATTTTTACAGCATAAAATGTTGTATTTTCCCCAAAACATTTCGAAACAGATAAAATAGGATAGAAATAATCAATTATATTACTAAAACGATCAAATTATGTAAGCTCTTTGAGGACAAACAGCATATTTATTGCTGTTCTCAAACACAAGATAACCAGCCTAATGCCTTTTGAAGAGTCCCCGAATTTGGTGATAAATTGAACATTTTAGAGAAAAGAAGAAGGGTCCGTTTTGTGTTTTGGCTTGATTGGATTGTATGAATGAATTGAATGAATCAGAATGAATGACGGATCTTGGAATGAGTGGTGGGATTGATCCAGGATTGATCCAACGGGATTGATCGGTATCTGGATAGTGAGTGTGTAAATGAGCAGCATTTCAGTTGCAGCTGACGTTGAGGTGGAGGTCACTGGTCAGGTCACGGTCAGAGGTTGAGGAGGTGGCTCCAGCTCCTCCAGCTCAAGCTCGAGCAGGGGCTGGTGGAAGTACTTTTGTTGGATGTAATGGCTGAAGGTGAGGCTGATTAATCGTCCGGTGGTAGTGGTAGGTTTGTAGGTTGTAGGGTTGTAGTTAAGGCTAGGTCAGGTTAGATTAGGCTTGTTAATTGTAATTGTTTCAGTTTTGGTTTGGTTAGAAAGAAACATCACCGGGTATGCGCCTCTCCGTGGTTGGAAAACCTTTGTGTGACGTCTGCTCTACTAATACCCAATCTTCACTTATCACCCGTACCGTTCGTACCCGATGATGATCTTGTCCACATCTGATCAACATAGTTTTGATGGCACTCCATAAAACTTAATGCCTGCCTACCATTGGCATTTGCGGTCATAACCTACCACAGCCATCTTTGTCTTTGGTGGGCAGCTTGCACTTGCGTGGTCTGGTGCATTTGGTACATCAGGTGTGCCACATTGATTGCAGGCAAAGCTCTACAGATTGCAGAACTTTTGATGCATCTTATCAGCTTGTCTCACACCTGTTCCTGCTGCTGGCAACCATATGACTAATGACTGTGTGGCAAATATCAACAGGGGGTGATGAGAACACCTTGTTGAAAACTGAGAAGCAAAGGTTGTCTTGTGAGGACCTGGACAAAATTGAACCCATCTCTCCCGAGGAGGAAAAAGAGGAAGGTGTACTGGAGGGTGAATTTGCCAAGTCAAGCCAAACTGAAGCTGAAAAAGAAGAAGGTGTGTCACCAACTACTGAGTCTCCAGAGGATATGGACAAAATACGCCAGTTTTTCGCCGAGAAGCTACACATTGGATCTTTAGCAAATGAGCTCAAGGTGAGAATAGCTAGGATTTTACCTGCAACATTTTGCAGTTATATGAGCGACGAATTGTGCTGCGGCAATGTGCAACTGCCGCAAATGAGCCGTGACCGCCGTTATCGCTGACAGGTGTTGGAGACGGTCGACTTTGAGGGCGTGATGAAGTACATCCGGGACGGCTACTGCAAGAACATCGTGACGATGGCCGGCGCGGGCATGTCCACCTCCGCCGGCATCCCCGACTTCCGCTCGCCGGGCAGCGGTCTGTACGACAACCTGGCCAAGTACGATCTGCCGCGGCCCGAGGCCGTCTTCGATATCGACTTCTTCCGCAAGCAGCCGGAGCCGTTCTTCGACCTGGCGCGCTCTCTGTACCCCAGCGAGCTGAAGCCCACACTCTGCCATCGCTTCGTAAGTCGCCCGATGCAATGGAAAGTTTATTATGTTGGGCGCTTTGAGCTCTCGCCAATCTATAATCCAATGCCATCAGTCTTGATTTTTTTATCCGAACGGACGTACTGCCCGCGTATCAGGAGTTTCGGACAGATTGAGACGATTTTCGGGCTTAGAAACGTGAAAGTAATGAAGGGTATTAAACTATGAACGTTCAGCGAGCCCATGTTCAACCCCAGCATATACATTCACAGTTCACACATCATATTGTATGTGTCACATTTAACTCCGGTGGTGTTTCTTGACCGTATTTTTGCTCAACATTCTCCGACAGATCCGACTTTTGGAGCAGAAGGGTCTGCTGCTGCGTCACTACACGCAAAACATCGACACACTGGAGCGAGCGGCCGGTGTCAGCGACGATAAGATAGTGGAGGCGCACGGCACGTTCCACACGTCTCACTGCACCGGCTGTCGGCGCGAGTACGACCAACAGTGGATGAAAGGTAGGCACGAGAGTACGACCAACAGTGGATGAAATGTAGTTACGAGACGACGACCAGCAGTGGATGAAAGGTAGGCACGGGACTGGCAGTGGGTGAAAGGTAGGCATGAGAGGACGACCGGCAGTGGGTGAAAGGTAGGCACGGGACCAGGGTTCGCTGTTTTCGGGCTGATTACTCTAAAATCTCAATTCAGCAACCGCGGACTATCCTCGCTGTTGCTCCGTTCTTTTTTCCTCCATGAACAAGTACAACCTGTGATGTAATGTGCTTATTTCACTACGCAGCTTTGCGTGAGTACGGAAGTGAATCGGATTGAAAATACAAGTAAAACATTGTCTGCCAATTGAGTGACCGTTGACCGGGTTTGTGCCCACAGAGCAGATATTCTCCACCGACCTGCCCCGCTGCCAGTCCTGCGAGGCCGTCGTGAAACCGGACATTGTGTTTTTCGGCGAGAGTCTGCCGGCGCGCTTCTTTGAGCTGGTGTCTGACGACCTGCGCCGCTGTGACCTGCTCATCATCCTGGGCACGTCTCTGGTGGTGCAGCCCTTTGCCACATTGGTCGACCGGTAAGACTGGTAGACAACAACTCTGTGTTTCGCTTACGATCATTCACGATTCAGTGAGACCTTGAATTAGTGTTGGCAAGTGAACAAACAAAAATAAATATAATATGTGCAGCTGCGAGCGAGTGTCGTAGACATTTCCTCGACAATGCTTTGGTTGGTTTCCCTGCACCTACCTCCCTCCGTGTGTCTCCAGCGTACAGGACACCTGTCCGCGGCTGCTGGTGAACAAAGAGAAGGTGGGACGGCCCAGCGTGCTGATGCGACTGTTCGGTCAGAAGGGACTCGACTTCGACAGCGCCTCCAACTACCGGTAAGTCTGAGATGACTCTCGTCATGTCAGTAACCCAGGGGCCAGGGGTGTGCTATAACAATAAATGCTGTTACAGTGATAAAAAAAAAAAATAGGACCCAGATGCTGCGTCTGCGCCTGACCCGGCCTGAGCTGCATTGAATTCCACACCACACGGCCTGTATGGTATTGCGTTTTCTGTGGGCATTGGTTCCCCACGTGCTCTGTCACCCGGGATATGGGAAGTAGAGAATGCGAAACGGATTTCGGCATACTATTCATTGATGTCTTCACGTGTCCTGAGCGACAGCTGTTCAGAGCCACTTACCTTTTCCGGCCATGGATGGCTCTGACCGTTTCTACCCCTGCTGTGCCTTGCCAGGGACGTGTGCTGGCTGGGAACCTGCGACGACGGCGCTCGGGCCATGGCGGCCGCGCTCGGCTGGGAGGTAAGCCACACAGGCGGTGGGTTCATCACAGGGTACAGGGTCAGAGGGACGGTCATAGAGATGGCAGACCAGAGTGACGTTATGTGACGTTCCATCAGCCTTCAGCTGATCGCACTTCTAGAGGCACCAACAGTCCCGAGTGCTCAGACTGCGTATATTGTCGAGACATGGGAAGCCACGTTTAGGAAGGACGGGTTAACCCTCGCCCCGTTGGGGGGGCCATTTTGGCCCCCCCCCTGTGGTTTTTCCTGAATAGCAAGAAAACGGCGGCGCGCAGCGCCGCCAAATTTTCAGTACCTTCCCGGGCATCAATTTGACATCTTCACACCAAATTTCAAGTCTTAGGTCACCTTAGGTCAGGAGTTATTGAGGTCAAACTGAGGTCATGTTCGAGCAAAAATGAGCAAAAAACATGCAATCTTGAAACGCTCACCAAATCTACAGTTATCAAGCAATTTCAAAGTTCATTATATGGTCTAGTAGACAAAAAGCGGCGCTACAAAACTGCTGTCTCGGATTTTCAAAATTTTTGGTTTTTGACCAAAAAAATTCAAAAAATTGATTTTTTAGCAAAACTAAAAAAAAATCCAAAATTTTTCCGAATTTCGAAAAAAACCGGAATATATGTGATAGTCCCAGCGCTCTTCTATATATATACCAAATTTCAGATCGATATCTCCTTTTTTGGCCAAGTTATAGAGAAAAAACTGTTCAAAAATGATGACGTCAAATTTTTTAACTCAATTTTTAGCGATTCTAGACCACGTACGGCAAAACAAAGACCACCATTGAACTCCCCGTGACGAGCTGCATCGATTCGATACCCATTTTATGCAAAAATATTAACTTTGAAATTTGACCTAATTTGACCAGACCTTGACCTGACCTTGACCTGACTTTGACCAAAACGTGACCTAAGCTGGGCCCAAAGGCTGCCTGACCCACATAATCGCATTTGTCATGTAAAATGGACCATAAAACATGTAGGTATCACACGACACTTTCATATTGTGACCCCCCGTGACCTGACCTCTGTGACCTGACCTGGTATCAGTGACCTCAAATAGCAAAATATGTGTTTGAAGAACATTTCCCCATCGATGATTTTCAATGAAATGCATTTTACCCGATTTTACAACGCATTTCTTGAAATGCCTGTAAACGGTGAAAATTGGACCTTTGACCTGACCTGTGACGTCATCGGTTTGACCTAGGTCAATAAAATTGGGTCACAAGGTAGTTCCCCGTTGGGGCTATCCAACGCCGTTTACCGCTTGTCGCTATGTTGCGTGGTTCTCGAGATCTTAGGGGGGGGGGGGCAAAATGCCCCCCCCCCCCAACCGGGCGCGTTGCTCGGCAGAGCCCAACGGGGCGCGGGTTAACAGTTTTAGATAACCCCGAAGAACCCCTTGAGCCCCGTTCTATGTCCTGTCATGAAGTGACACCGCTGTAGCGGTGCGTATGCGTCTGGACGCCGGCCTGAATACAACTGACGTCTGTTATCCACCCACAGGAGGACCTCCGTAAACTTGAGTCAGAAGCGGACACATGAGCAGCCTGGCGCTGTCGGGACTTCTAATGACGCGTGGGATGACGAAACAGCAGCTAGTCTGCGATGAAGGTACAGCGGGCCGGATATCGGATATTTATCCGTCCGAACTCGCAAGTGATAATGTGTTGTCTGGAGGGATACTCTGGAGTGACAGTGATAATGTGTCGACAGGAATGTCGAAAAATGCAATGTGTCTAAAGGGATGTCTCTGTGTTATAGTGCACCGTCGGACGGCTTTGCCTTGGCGTCCACTATATGTCGATATGCGAATACAAGATACACGTGCGTAGTTCAGAAGCCGTGCAGCAAAGCAGCTTCCATTACAACACAAAGTTAGTTGTGGACATTCATAAATGGACAACTGACCATCTGTTTTATCGTGATGGCGGATAGATAACACGACATCCAACGTTCTATTTCGTGTAGTCACTGCACGCTTCATTTTAACTGCACTGCACGCTTTATGTCATTAAAGTTGATGATGTGTAATAAATGGCTGTAATATATTTGAAATATATCGTCAAATAACCAATGCGATTGATGTTTGGTTTACTGGAGGTAAAAGGGGCTGTTTTGTTATAGCATTGTACCAGAAATTATGACCGGCGAGTGGCGAACTTGACCAACGGACATCATTTATGTTGCTGGGTCAAAATGTCGTAGAAATGACATAGAAATTGCTATTGTATTATATGGAGTTACGGCATGCTGCAGGTGCTTTGAGTTGTAACATGCGCCCCACAGATCGCGGTGATATGCCTGTAAAGTCGCGGTCCGTAAAGTCCACCAGCCGCAGGCACGGTGGTCGGCGCCGAAGCTTTAGTTCCGGCGGTAGGTACTCGCTGTGGCGCTGGTGTCGCTGCACGACGGCACAATACGATACCGTCGGACCATCGTCGGACGGCCAGTGTCACAGACGGTTTTATTGTCCTGGGTGGCTTACCTTAGTCTTTTACTTGTTTGCTTGACGTGAACGCTACTAGCTTTTTTAGGTTCTGGAGACGAGTATTTTCCGTCCTGCCGGATACCTGATTAAAATTAGTCGTCCACAGGCGTCGTCCGTTCACTTCAGGGATTCGGCAGGTGCATTGACATTCCCTCTCCCGTGTAGTCGACAGTTCTGTGCATACCTAGTACCTACCTCTCAAAATACCTCATTTGGTCTTGATTATCCCTTACGATGCTTCGGCTCATAGATTTTGGCAAATCCTTTATCGAATGTATATTACGACGGTAATACGAGTGTACCCACAGTCCACACCCTACCAGTCTTTCACCAACCCAATATTAATTGCTATACCTATAGCCATAGGTATGTTATTATTCTCAATAGAATATGCAAGCCACCTACAGTAAAATATTCCTATGATAGTTACCTATATCTCGCCACAGACCACATCCATGGCATCTGGTGCCCAAAAAAACACTCGGCCGTCTCGACCCGCGGGCGGCACTGGTGTTTGATATGCGGCGCATGGCTCGTGGGCAGTGTTTGTTTGGAGCGACCATACGCTCGTGGAGTCTGGCAAAAAGTAGTGTCGGCTGACCCGGCAACGACGTAGTACGTAACGACGTCTCTACTCTCTACATGCTTGGTAGGAGGGAATAGAGGAACGAAGGGGAAGAGAGGGATACAAAAAATGTTTCAATGCTGCTCTTTAGATGTTCTCCCTAAAGTGTTTTTTAGACCAATCTCGTATGACGTATTTCGATTATGAGTTCGTTTCGTACCATAATGAGTGGCCGCACCACCTCTTATCGTGCAAGTAAAAGTTATTTTTATTTCCCCGGAGCCGCTGGCAGTCAGTTGCATCGATGTAGCATCAGTTGAAACACTTTTGATTAATGTGTATTTGGATTTTCGGGTGTTGTATTTTAGGGGAGCAGATTTCCAGGGCCAGGAGACGTTCTTGGCAAAGTTCACTGCACAGTGCACATGGTTAGGTATCTACGCTATATGATCGAAATAGCGTGTTCGTCGTTCACACAGCCGAGCCCCGCACACCGCCCTTCCCGCGCCCACCGGCTTCAAATGCCTGTATACCGCGATCACCGCTGCCCGTGATAGTATCTACAAGCCATTCCCGTATAAAGAACTAAATGATGACCACTGACAAGGCTCAAACAGAGTCCTAACGACTGCGTCTGTCGTCTCAGCAGACGGACTCTCTCATGCTGGGCTGCAGCCTGCAGGGATGGGCTCAATGCCTTGTTTTATAGGAAAGATCGCTTTAGCTTTTCCTGTCCTTTGCCCTTAGGCGCTCCTCGGAATTATCAGGCCTTTTTCTTACGATTTTCGATATTAACTATGAGAGTACGGTTACTTTACTTTTTTATATGTTTTGTAGCGGGCTACATCTTTTCTATTAGTTTACTATTAGCTGTAAACTTTAAATCCTGGCACGACCGACTACTGCCAGATCCGGACACGCTGGCCGCGTTCCGTAGAGACCCTTTCCTTTGTTTTCCCGTGTCCCACGTCCCTATCGACACCGGCCGCCCATAATTTAGAAAGGACAGCAGCACAGAGCGAGGTAACGCGGAAGAAAGAGACGCGAAGACCTAGTGGGTCACCGTTCGTTACGGACGTCGTCACTTGAGGGCAGCACCAACCGGAAGAGAATATGATAAAGCCCTGCAAGAATGTAGTTATGCAAAAACAAAATCGACGCAATACTGGACGTTGCACAAAGCTGGAATTCAGATCAACTTGATCACCAAGCAATCCGAAAGTCGCAATTGTTTTATCGCCTGACCCCACCAAATAGCATTCCAGCAACGACCAGTGCAACAAGGACGTTTTTGGAATTATAGACTGTCTAAATGATATCCGGAGGAAGTCATTGCGCTAGCAGCTCATGAGCTCGGAAAGCAAGTCCTTGTGGCGGAGGAGCATCTGAACAAGAGGTACAGCACCTAGAGTACGAGTGAGTGAGCAAGTGTGACGGAAACTAGAGACAACATTACAAAGGATAAATCGTTGCGGGCTGCCTACTATAAACAAGCGTTTCGATTTCAAGCCGCTTTATCAGAAACAAGCGCAGATCAACAATAACGGGCATCGTTCGCCGATGAAGACTGGAACCGAAGAATTGTGCCATCTTATGGCTATTTAAATGTTTTCACATTCAGTGCAACCATATTTTGGAGAGGCCGTTGCAAATGCAAAACCGAGCACACCCTCAAACCACCGCAGTAAGAAGACAAAGAAGTGCACCTGAATCGGAGCCAGCACCCGGAACCAGGTCAGGAGAGGGCGACGCCACCCCGACCCAACTATAAAAAAGGGACCGCTTTACTTCGGGATCAGTTAGACCGGAGCAGTCAGACCGAGACAGTGAGACCGGGACGGGAGGACCGAGTCAGTGGGACCGCCGCAGTCGCGTCGGGATCACCGCGCCCGAGAAGCCATGCCGCCGGGAGACGGGCCAGTTCAGCCGCATCGCTGCAATCGTCCTGCTCCAGTTCTCTGCTAGTGCCTCGAGTGATGGAGACGCAGGACAGCAGCCGTCGACGAGAAAGGACGCAAGTGCAACTGCCGAGGTTGACGTCACACTCCAGCTGCTAATGTGAGTGTTCAATCTGAATGTTCGAAAGTCTGCTCTCCCTGATCCTATCTCCCCCCCCCCCTGGTTTACGCCTTGCCCGATCTCTCCAATGGTCGTTGCCAAGCTAATAGCAAATTGCTTTGATTTATACGATCGGTCCAGACAATTCTAGTTGTGGTCTCCACTCTCCGCGATCGCCAGAAATTATTGGTGCAAAGCTGTATTGCGGTTTTGTTCTTGGGGTCTTACTAACGGATAGGCTGCGTTATAGGTGATCGAGGTTTAGCTAAAAATTCACGAGTGCGTATATGTCATTGTTAGGATCTACAGCTTACCATTTGCGGACTAGGATTACAATGGGATTCGCAGTGTGTTTAGGTTCAACAGTGACGTTCAGTTGGGTTTGTGAGAGGAGTTCAGGGCGTGGTTTCAGTCTCTTTTACAGTGATGTGAGCTGGCATTGCTGCGCCACATAGTGGGTTAATAATGAAGCTGTTAGTTTCTGTACGAACCTGTCAAAGGCAAAGTTAACAATTTAACCGGTTAGGCGTAAGTCATTTATTATTGGTATTCTGTTGAATTAGCGTTTTGACTTGGAACATGAATTAGACTGTATTTAAATTCAACGTGTTTAATTTAGAATACACACTAAAGCTATGAAACGTTCTGTTGTGGGCATAGTGGGAAGGATCGAGCTCTTACAAATTTGGAAACGGGTGATTGGCCACAAGGTCAATAAGATCATCCGTCGAGACGTCATCAACGCTTTTCCACTCTGGTGTTTCGTGGGGTTCGCACTACAGTATAGGGGTTTACATTAGATACACACACACACACCGAATAAGAAGAGCACATATAGAAGAAGCACACGGTGTCTGATCGACGACCTTGGTCCAGCTGTTAATTCCGACGGGTGAAGCGGCGCGGCGGTGGGCCGCCCAGGTTTATGAGCTGGGCTGCAAATTCAGGTCAGAATTCAGCTGTTAAGGAATTCAATTACTCGAGGCGTGCAATTGTGGAAACAAACGTGGTAAATTGTTCAAAGATGTTGGGTCATCATAATGTCACTAGGTCGTCGTAATGTCGTGGTATTATCGAGCATAGCCATCAAATGACGTTTATCATGGGCAGTCCGGGCGTACTGTTTGCATCACTAGTCGCGGGACAGAGCTGGCGGCGGACAGGACGGTCCGTCGGCTCTCGGTCGTAATTTATGGGAGATTTATTGACGCAGAATATTTCAGACCAGGTAAACAATATCAGTGAAATTGTTGGGGCTTATATTTTTAGCGAACCTGAATACTCGTGGTTTTGTGGTTGCTGGTAGCAAGTATTTCACCCGACACAAATTGACGAAAATTTAATGGCCCAAGATGATACATTTGATCTTTCTATCTGTCACATTCGAGTGGCTACAAGGTATATTGCAAGCTGACTATCTTAGATCAATAAGCCGGAGTCTAAATGAGGAGAGGGTTTGTTTGCCCGGCTCTTATGTCGGAATGTTGACTAGCATGACTTAGACACAGAACTTCCTGAGAAATTCGTCCAGACCGGTAATGTAAGGTAAGGAGCACATCGTCTTTAGCAGAGCTATTCACGTTACCCACCGTGGTGATACCGCGGTTGTTGTTGGTTTCCCGCAGGATTATTTAGTGGGCAAAGGTAGGCAGGCTCAGAGGCATGAAACGGCGGATCCCAGCGGAAGTCAAGGATCCATCAGGAATGGTGGAGTGCTGGGTCACTGGTAAGTCATCCACAGGTGGTGCAGGAAGCCGTACGTCCCAGGAAGTCATCATACTTATCTGCATCTTGATCATCGGCATGAGCCAGGAGTTTCCGGCCACATCCGGTGATGGACAGCCTCTGGGGGACCGGGAGAGTCCCCCCTCGGAGTTCGTGAGTCCTGGTAACGTAAGACCCACGGAACCAGCTGAGTTCCAGGCAGATAGTTCCAGGACGTGGATACGTGAACTATGGTCCCAGGACGTGAACGGTAAGTTCCAGGACGTGGACCGGAGGGAGCGCGAGGCCTAGCGCTCTCTCAAAAGGGAAACCAGCCGGGTGTAATTCGCGAATTCGCATCATAAGTCTATTGGACGTGTTGTGGATCCGACTAAATTACAAAGATGAATAATTATCTGCATGCAATACTGGACGGCCCTGTGGCTTGGCCACCGGTTAGCGGGAGCACACGTGGATTCATAAGAGAGACATTTATCTCGCCGGGGAGGTTATTGTTGCCAGACACCTAACACTATCGGAGGGATTTCGAGGGGCACTAAATAAATTTTGGTGAATAAATGAAGAGCGCTTGTATGTGAGAATGTGAGTGCGTATGATAAAAGAATGAATCTTAGATTAAGGCCGATAGGAGTTAAGTGCAGCTCGGTTAGGACAGTCAAGCCAATGATTCTCGAGGGCACTTAAATTCAGCTACGCTAATACGATATAAGTGGGCAAATTTGAAAAGGGTAGAGTAGACCAGTGATGATGAATTGGTGACTGGACAAATGACCATCCAGCAAATCAAGTTAAAAGCCAACGAATGGCTTGGCAGTGATCATTAAGACCCCAACTGCCTTATCCGGCCCTTCTCTCACTGTGTCGATTACCCACGGGTTGGAGCCTGTCCTTCCTGCCCGAGCAGTGAAGTTACCGAGTCGACGTCTATACAATGCGATGATGATCAAGCCTCAAAAGGAAAGCATCTCCCATCAGATGCATTTGTATGCCGGGTGGGCTTCTAGAAATCAACTTTACTTACGCACACACTTCCAGTCTCCAACAGCACAACTCCAGCGCTTCACATTGGCACCGAACTACCCACTGCTAACAGAACTACAAGGAAGTCCCCCCCCCGGAAAACAATTCCACCCCCACTCCACCGCACCCCTGTTCAGTCCCCCGCGCTACAGTTTACAGGGACCCTCCCATCTTCAAAAAAGTTTATGAAATGGCATGAAAGTGATGTCGCTCGGTTCAGAAAGAGCGGAAACGAATATCTACCAAATTTCACCGAAAAATATTCACCGGTTTTCAAGATATTAGACTTTTACTTTTGTTTACTTTTTTTGGGATCTCCGCTGTTTCTAGCGACTTTATTTTAGAAGTGCGGCGTTTGCGGCAGATGTTGCGCGCAAATAGCATATACCACCGCGTGCTACAAAACGTTTTAGTCAAACATTTAAAAATCGTTAGATATCAGCGCTGACGTCACACATTCAGAGGGGTATTCCTAAGCATTAGCCCCTCTGAATCAAAATGCTGCAATTTTGAAATTCAATATTTCCGATTTAAGGCATTTCTCGATGTTGTGAGTGCCGAAACCGGTAATTGTGAGCCAGGGACCCCATTTTGGCTATCTCAACTCAAATCTAATGTTAAGGTGGGAGGGTCCCTTTAAGCATGTCTCTCAAAAGTCAAAGCAGTGCTAACAGCAATTCAGAAACTACCTTATCCTAAGCTGAGAAGATAAACGATATGGTGTGCGTTAACCCGGCGGCCGCTGGGCCTCCGCGCCACCCGCCGGCCGCTGGGGGGGGGCATATAGTTGCCCCCCCTTTACTTCTGCGACGATATCGTCGCAACGCGAAGAGATAGAGAAGCGAAACTTTGCACACATCTTCCTGAATACCTAGCCGAGGTTGTGTCCAAATTTGGTGTCGATCCCATTTGAAATGACGTCACAGTGACGTCATAAGTGAAATTATAGATTTGCGGCTCTCATATTCCTCACGATACATCAGATATATGGGACCGAATATAAAGGGCCGATTATTGGTCAGGAACTAGACGGAAGTGTAGTTAGATGTTTTAGGATGACAGCAGGTGCTGTCTAGTTCATTTACAGTTGAGTTTCATGCTCAGCGTCATCAGAAACGGTCCATATCGGAAAACGACAAAACTTTATGACGTCACTGTGACGTCATCTTAGGTGCTACAACCACCAAACTTTCCTCAAACATTGCCTAGGTATTCATTTGAAGCTATGCCAAGTTTCACGTTCGTAGCTCATCAGGTTTCGGAGATATTTCACAAAACGTAAAGGGGGGGCAACTTTATGCCCCCCCCCCCCAGCGGCTCGTGGGTTAATCGGCGACGCTTCACACCGTCGTTATACGTTTATATATTTTATGAGAAGACCTGGATGGCTGCTGAAACACTTCACTGCTCATCTCAGTTTAATGTTTGACTAGATAATTTACCATGGAAAAGGTACACAACAGACCAGACCGCTCCCTCTCGCCAACCAATCAGAACCTCACATCCAGGCCACGTCACGGACACCCACCAATACAAGCCCGCGCTTCAGGGAAACGGCATCTGCGTATGACGGCGCGGCAGCCGCCCCATTCTCTGGGCCGCGTCAGACAGAGACGCGGTGTCACGGGACAACCACTCGGGTCAGAGCACAGTCACCGAGACGGATGCCAACATTGCGCCGCTCTCAGTGACTTAGAAGGCAGGGTACGACTGCCAAAGGCTCATTCAGTGATTAGGGAAATTCGCTTGCGTGCGGCGCTATAGATCGTCAAAGAGGTGACACGATCCTACAAAAGGATTCGAGATCTCACTTTGATTGGGGTCACCCGTCGTCAAAATTTGGTAGCGATGGACGACAAGGCATCCAATGAGCTTATTTTTTATGTGAATGGAAATAAGGTAAGCACAAGTCTATAAGCCGTTTTACGTTTATTGCTCGACGATCAGCCTCAGAACTCCAGCTAATTTAAACAATCGTCCTATATTCTTCAATCCCTCTCGTTTATTGTCGTCTGAGTGCTTATGATCATCATGATCACGATTCTCTCTTCCATGTTTTAGGTGCAAGTTTCATCACCGGACCCAGAATGGACGCTTCTCTTCTTCCTCAGAGACAAGCGTAAGTTACGCGTGCTACGGTAAGTCGAAAACAGACTGATTGCGATTTCCCATAAGTCTTATGGGTCCAGAAGGTCATGGAGTCCAGGCCAAACAAACGTAATTGTTATGACATGATAATATATGATCATATATCTATATGATATATAGATGTATGACCATTAGAAAAGTATTCATGATTCATTTTTCAGTCAGGGATAACGCGCAAATTGATGTTATTGTTTACCTATGTAGAACAGAGACTTTTCAAATTCACGCTTTAAACGTTTAAACCTTTGTGAAATATCAGGGTGAAAAAGGCCATTCGTAGTTCTTACCCGTCTCAAGCAATCGTATCGAGTCAACTTAAATGACTTTGATATTAATTATTATAAGTTAAGCGACCTTCTCCTGGAAATTTCCGAAAAATAAACTGCTGTTTTACATGTGCATTCGGGCACAGCCATCATCGGATGTATATTGCCAAATGAAGAATGTGATATTTCTGATATTTTTGATTCTACGTGATATTTCTGGGACTTCGATATTACCGCAATCCTAATTGAAAATTAATTTGTTTACATCCAGAGTTTGTGTTAACACTCCAAATGCAACTATGTATAAACATCCTTCAGCTTTCTGTCTTCTGGTTCCCAACGGTGTTATATCTAAATGATAAAATTATTTAACCGCTCGAAGGTTGAAAAATATTTTAAACGTCTCGCCTATCGGCTCGACGATTTGTTCTACCTACTCGCGGTTTAATATATATTATCCCGCACCGTAGACAGTGTTTACAATTG